ATGAATTTGATGATTATAAGCTACCCAAATGACCGATATCGAGATATCAAAATATTCTTTTGTGTAGAGTTTACGGAAATTAAATTCTAATTTCTTTTTCTTGTACGGGTTGTTCTACATATTAGAATTCTAATTTCTACTGGGTTCGGTTCATGAGATGTTTTCACACTGAATATTCAACATATGTTCTTTATGGATTGGTCTCTTTCGAAATCAAACTATGCTCTAAACTAGGGATTGAATCGGTTTAGTCGACTAATTAATCGACTAAACATAGTATATATAGTCGACTAAACCGATTCCAATCCTTACTCTAAACATATTATTATAAGTAGACGTTCGTCTGATGTTCTGATGTATAACATTTTACTAATAAAAAAATCGCAAAAAAGTTATTCTGAACTTCTAATGAATTTCAATATTCACCTTATAAAAGAATCATACCATGCTCCCGACTAGTTATGCAGGCGAGTCATTCCAATGAATTTTACAACATACCGGTACGACAAGTTACGGTTGCGACAAAAATCACATGATCCCAACGTTCCAAATCAATACGTACTATATCAGATATAAACGTTTTAAACATATCATTAAGTGTCCACGCTTAATCTAATTATTATCGCTGACATCATTAACTAGTTATGGCAAGTTACGACATTGACTACAAATAGAGTTTTCTTATTTACATTATCTTTTAAAAATCGTTGCATGTACAAATAAATTTATTTTTCAGTAAAACTCATCATATAAATATTGGTTTAAAAAATATATATAATCTTTTGTTAAAATCTTGCGACTAAGTTTAAAAATATGTTAAAGATATAATAAAGTGTGCCAAAAATTTTATTCGTGGACCATGCAAACAAGTTATTTATCAAACCTATGTGGACCGTTCTTAAAGAAAAGTTATTCATTTTTTTTAGTTTGCCTGGTGATTTGCACGTGATATCAGTATCAAAAAAAAATATATAAATTTTGGCAGGTGTATCAAAAATGAAAGTTCCTGTTCATATTTAAAAAATTCGACATCGTATCACATGACAGCGAAATCATCGCTTCTATAAGTCACCAAGTGATTGAGCATACTATTACACTCATTATGGCTAGTTATACCCGAGGTGCTGCAAGTAAATTTTGGGAAAAAGTGCGTCAACTTTTGACTGTGGTAAGTTTATAATAGACCGAACAACGAAAGTTAAAAGGTTTGGTCTTTTAATTAGCATAGATTTCGAAGACTTTGCATGAAATCATACTGGTATTTTTTATATTAAAGGCACCAACATTTACATAATTACAATTAAAGAATCCAGAGTCAAATACGGGTGTTCCCGTTGTAGGAGTATATCGCACACCATCTCCAGGGTATGAAGAAACGTTAATATTTATAACCAGTTGTATGAATTAGAATTATTGACCGGGTTTCTGTTTTTACATAGGTCACAGCCAAGTACATACGTTCGGCCCCAAACAAAACAT